ACGCTGTATTACTATTTGACGAGTTTGAGAAAGCTCATCGTGATATATCAGCATTACTGCTTCAGGTCCTAGACGAGGGTTTCCTCACTGATGCCCAGGGTCATAAGATTGACTTCAGGAACACTCTGATTGTTTTAACATCCAATCTCGGAGCGGAGGTTCTTGTTGGGGCAGACGCTTCCCTTGGGGATGAGATCTCAGCAGAGATAAAGGCGGCTGTAATGGCTACCGTTCAGTCATCCTACCCCCCCGAGTTTTTGAACAGGATCGACGAGTTCATCCTTTTCAAGCGACTCTCGAAAACCGCGTTGCGAGATATCGTAGACATTAGGTTGCAAGAACTTCAGCAAAGGCTAGATGATCGACGAATAACCTTGAACGTGGAAGATGGCGTTAAAGATTGGCTTTGTGAAAGGGGTTACGATCCTCGATACGGAGCTCGTCCGTTGAACAGGCTCATTTCAAAAGAAATCGGGAACCGTCTAGCGGATAAAATAATCAGGGGTGAAGTTGTCACTGGTCAGGATGTGAATGTCACTTTCGGTAGTGACAAGTCTGGGCTTGACATCGTATCTACAAAAGCAGCGTAATATTTTCTCCATTAGCTGTACTGATATTCCTGTCTCTTCTCTGTTTAACGATTGGTTCCTGCTGGGATATTCGTTTCGGAGCACCTTGCTCTGGGCATGCCCTTCGTTTGGCGTAAGTTGGGCTTTTGGGTGAGCATTCTCTCTGTATCATATAATGTCCATGTACCATCACCGATCTTTCACAATTTAACATACTGTGCCTATATTCCTCACACACTCAAAGTTGATATCTTTGCTTTTCAAAAAGCAAGAATTGTTTTCATCTACAGTGCAGGCTGTGATCTCAGTGCGAGACTCACGGGCGGGTCGAGAAGTTTCTTCCTAATTGGGACACACCCACTTTTCCTTTGCGGCTCTTCTGGCTCTTCTGCCCTCACTCTCCCAACTTTCTTATGGAACCACGTTAGTCTTGCATCTACCACCCCAATCATGGCGCCGTCTTCCTCAAAGAGAGAGACGCGAGGTTTCAATTCCTCTCGTAGCAGCCATCAGCGCTCGCAGCCAAGACGCAACCAACGACCGTTTAACTCAAGCTCCAGCGGCAGACGTGATCGGATAGCATCTTCTGCTCGAGAATCCTCGGCTGCGGCGTATACCGAGAATTCTGGAAATAACCAAGTATCAGATGTGGTGAGTCAGTTACAAGGTAATATTGGCCAGCAGGACCGGGACGATGAAAATGCAGATCTATGTCAGGTTGTGATGGCTATGGACATGAAGGAGAGATGCTCTGTTGGTTGCTGTTATTACGTTGCAGCTGAGCAGAAGCTGTATCTGCTTGAGGACATTACGTCTGGGGGACTAGAGGCCATTGAGACGTGTGGGTTTTCGTGCTCTTTGTTTTAATCACTTTACAGCGCGATATGATTGCCGTCCTAACCTTCCCCTTCTTTTCTTTCTATTTCTTTTTCTTTTAATAGTAAAACTTGACGTTCAACCAACACTTGTTCTGCTCTCAACCCGGGCAGATCAAAGCACGCCCAACCTGGGGCAAACTGGACTAGGTATGCACACCGCGGACAACGGTGAGTACTGTTCCACCTATTGCTATTTTCTTCATCCGTTGTTTACGAGTTTGCTCTTCAGGCGATCAGTTCCAACTGCCTTATCATCTCGACGTTCGACCAGTGCAGGAATTCAACTTCGAGGGTGCAAAACTAAAGCTTGCTAGCCTTCCGCTCAGTACAAGTAGATCCGAGACCCGCTTCCTTGTCCCTGGTGATACTTTCTCGCTAAAGCAAAATGGAGATGAGAACGATTTGGGGTTCACTGATCATCAAGGAAGGCTACTAAACCTTTCTGGCTCTATTGATATGGATAATCGTATTTCTATCGGTTGTGTGGGTGCTATCATTACCTACCTACAGAGAAAACGAGCAGCGGAGTGCCTTACAAGGGACAGTTCCGGGAGTGAATTGTTCAACATTAAATCCCTTGAAATGCGTAGCCTAAGGGACACGATGTAAGGCTAATTACCAGTTTAAAATCAATATCAACCTTCTCTCACTGACGTGCATGATAGGTTTGTCAATACCGATACACTTACTTCACTCCAAGTAATCCAATCCGAGTCCCATCCAAATGCGTTCAACCAGGGGCCTGGTAAGACCTCCCCTGGAGCAAAAGAGAGCTTATCAATATATGGTCTATTTCACCATTTTGCTAGGACACCGCATGGGAAGACTCGTCTAAGGCAAAGGTTTCTTCGCCCCAGCACGGATGCTGCTCACATTAAGGAGGGACATGACTTTATCAGCACATACCTACGTCCAGATAACGGCGAATGTATTGAAAAACTCACCAAGAGCTTGAAAGGGATAAAAAATTTGCGCCCAGTAATGGTACATGTACAGAAGGGCATCAGTTCGGGAAATGCCAAATTCAAGGCGTTCAAGAGTGGAGTTTGGGCAACGCTTTTGGAGGTCCGTACCGGGTAGATACTATATGAGTGCAGAAAACAATCGCTAATCTAGAGCCCGTAGTTTGCATTCCACGCTATAGACGTACACGATACGATACGAACGGTTATGGGGGCGGAAAATTTGGATATCCATTTGAGGGTGAGAGTGTCTCAGTACGATATATGAATACGCTAATTCTCGTAACTAGGCACTTGAGAAGCTAGATGTGGCTATCCTACACCAGGTTGGAAGAATAATTCATGAAACGGTGAGCAGAACTTCCCGCCTACACAGAAGCAATGCCTTTCTTTCTGATTTCTGGCAGGTCGACCTACAAAGCTCGATTGACGAGCACCGGACTGTCGTTAAACCGAGAGTAGATCGCGAACTGGACGATCTGAAAGAAACATATAATGGCCTGGATAGCTTGCTCAATCAGGTGGCCATAAATATTGCTGGTACTATTCCCAGCAGGCTGAGCAACGATGTTAACGTCATTTACTTTCCCCAACTTGGGTTCAACATTGCTATGCCATTGGACGAAAGAGGTCGTGCTGTTTACGATGGCGGAGAGCAACCGTGGGATCAGGTATTTACCACAGAAAACAGGGTATATTTCAAGGATTTCCGTATGCGAGAGATGGATGAGAAATTTGGAGACATCTATGGCCTTATTTGCGGTAAGTATCCTCTAAACCGGAGTTTATACTCGATACCTAACAGATCTTCAGAAAAGGAAATTGAAATTGTCTACGAAATGGCGCAGAATGTACTTCAGCACGAAAAATTTCTTGTGGACGCTTCCGATATCTGTGGAGATATAGACAGGTATGCATGCTGGTGTCTATCTTTTCCGTCCTATATCTAAAAATAAAGCACAGCCTTCTCGCTCTAGTACAAGGGGCCAGTTTATATAAGCTTGTAAGGCCACAGATCACACAGGACAACAGTATCGTAATTAAGGGAGGACGGTCAGGACAAACATCACCCCCTGCTCTCGATGATTGTATTGCCGCTGACTAGATGCAGCCACCTTCTGTATGAGGTTACTGTTCCTACATTTATCCCGAACGATACCCTAATTGTTGGAGGAAATGGAAGAGAAGGATCCCCACCAAATACATCAACTCAATCACTTGAAACCTCGGTTGAGGTGGCTGAAACCCAGGGCCCGAGCATGTTACTGCTGACTGGGCCAAACTACTCCGGCAAAAGTGTTTACCTCAAACAGGTTTACTCCTTTATCAAATAGCATGATAAGGAATTGAGCTGACTATCCTATAGGTGGCTCTAATTGTCTATATGTCCCACATCGGGAGGTACTTTGGAGACCCCCTATCTTGAAGTTTCATTAACTGACCGAGAATCACAGTTTTGTCCCCGCGGAAAGGGCCAAAATCGGCATCACGGACAAAATACTAACACGGATAACAACAAGAGAGACAGTCTCCAAGGCAAGAGCCAATACCCGTGGAAAAATCATTTTCTCAATATGCTCATTTTTTCGGACAGACCCAAAGCTCCTTTATGATCGACTTACAGCAAATATCCTTTGCTTTAAACCTCGCAACCGAGCATAGCCTGGTTATAATCGATGAATTTGGCAAGGGGACAGAATCGACCGGTCGGCTTCCTATCCCCTATTTGATTTGGGAGCAATCTATCTCTGAGCTTTGGCTAAGGCAACACATGCTATATAGATGGCGCGGGTCTCGCCTGTGGGCTGTTCGAATACTTACTCAGTCTTGGTGAGAAGAGACCGAAGGTGCTCGCCGCAACGCACTTCCATGAGATATTCGAAAACGGATTTCTACCCCCAAGGAAAGAGCTTGATTTTGGGTACATGGAAGTTCAAGTAGATCCGGCTGCGAGAGAGGTGGAGAATCAGGTCACATATCTATACAAGTTGAGTACCTATCGTATTTTTCCTTTTAATCCTAAACATTGAAAATCAAATAAATCACTGATCCATTAGCTATATAGTTTCCGATCTGGACGGAGCAATGCCAGCTTTGGAACTAAGTAAGTTTATACTGAGATTTTCATAGCCGACTCGTTGATAGTGACCCTCCATTTTATTTTATTAACGCGAACTTCTCAAGCTGTGCGGCGTTGAATGGGATTGACCAAGCCATTATTTCGCGCGCAAATGAAATTGGTACCCTAGCTGCCCGTGGTGAAGATCTTGTGGTCATTTGTGCGAAGATGTCTGCGGATGAAATGGGCGAGCTTGAAGAGGCGGTAAGCGGTTCTTCGAAATTGTTTGTTGGGGTTCGAGAAACTGGATGAGTGCGTTCTGCAAAATGCTAAAAATGGATTCCGCGCAGGAGAGTATGGCGAGGAGGTTCCTTGGTGCGGATTTCTCCCACGGACCTAATGGTGCGGGTGACGGGTGTGAAGATAATAGTGAGCGACCAGAAGCGTTGCTGGAAAATATTATTGGTAAGAGTTATGGTAGCACGATAATGACTGGGCTTACATGACTCTGCGTGGGCTGGGATGGCATGCTTTTCCCGAGGGGGTATGCAGAGTGTCATCCCTTTTGCAGCCAGTGCGTATGAACGTTTCCTCATATTCCAGTTACCCTCATGTGCTCATCATAATCAGTTGTTGGTGAACTTATCATTTAGATCAGTGATATAACTTAGAGTTATGTATTTCTATCTAGCGCTAGAGTTACCAAACAGATATAAAGATACCACATATTAAAGGGTATATCAAGTCAAAACCTTAGCAGATAAGCATCCCCCAACCTCATCATACTCGAAACTTGTGTTTATTTATGCAGTATAAACAGCGTAGGGAAGCCCAACGCAATCCAACAACGCCATTCCCGCATCTAATACGGAGTGCATAAGAAACCCATCCCATCATCGATTTTACATGAATACAATAAATAATTTATAACTTCACACTCTTAACCAAATTAGTCTTGATCCCAGTAAGCTCGCCGCCATACCCACCACGGCCTTCACCACCTTTATAAACCTGTCGAATACTCCCCAACTTCTTCTTCTTCTCCTCATACTTCTTCTTCTTTTTAACTCTCGGATTCCGCACATCTTTACTCCGCTTCGGCGTCAGGCCCTTATTCTTCGCGATGGCATATGTAATGGCCCGTTTCCCATCTTCCCCAATAGTCTCCTCGAACTCAACGCGGGCCCCCTTCCCTTCGCGCGCAGCCGCAGCATGCGCGTCAGCAAGTTTCTTCTTATCCGCTTTCTTCTGCTTCGACCGTGCCGCGACCATGTCATAGTAATCGTCCGAATCCGAACCTGCGCCACCATTACCGCTCTTGTCGCCTCGCACCTCCCTCGCGAGCCGATGATCATCCTCGTCGCTATCTCCGCCAAGCGCGTGGAGATCGTCCGCAGTCCGCTGGCCTCTTTTCTCAGCCTGGGCGTCTAGACGGGCTTGGCGATCCTTTAGTCTCTCGCGGTATGGCAGGTCTGTATCGCCGCCCGCATCACGGCCAGCAGCGTCACGCTTGTTGGCTTTCTGGGCGATTTGGGAGGTATAGAAACGGAGACTCTTTTTCTTCTTGGCTTTTTCTTCTGCTTCGAGGGCGTCGAGAGGTGTCTCGTCGCCGAAGTCTGAGTCGGCGTCCTTTGGTGTGGGTTTTTTAGCTTGCTTAGTTGTTCTTTGGGTTGTTCGGGAATTAAGTAAATTAGAAAGGTCTGCAAGCTCAGCCTCAGTCTGGAGTAGTTTCTCATTGCGCTTCTTTTCTGAGAGGGCCTTGGCGTCTTCTGCAGCTTTTTGGGCTTTCGTTTTCTTCGTTTTGGTCACCCGTTTAGGTTCGACGGGCGTTTTACTTATTTCTGTGACTTTGTTTGCTGGTTTCGATATTTTGTCGTCATCAGTGCTGTGATATGGCTCTATTTCAGAATCCTTGATTTCTTGCACACCCTTTGCCTCCTCCCATTGCTTCTTGCAGTTGATCAGAGTCTCCATGATTGGATGTTCTCTTAGCTCTACAGGCGACATTGCGAGGCGTGCTTCCCCATTTCTTGAAGGAGATGTTAAGAGAAAGAAGTACATGCTGATTGCACCGAGATAGGCGGAGAGTGCACGAAATTTAACCACTGGTAACGGAACATAGTCATTATCAGTTCCAGATGAATAACCTGCACCATTCGCAAGATTATCTGCATTCTGCATGGCAGCAGCAAGTTCCTCATGCACGCATTGAAGTGAGAGAAAGTCTTTCGACAGCGGCTCGAATTCAGGGTATCGTTGTTTCAAGATCTTGCGCCGTTCGTCGACACTTATATCATCTGTCACCTGAAGTTCACGCAAAACTTCTGTAACGACATTGTTCCCTTCCTTTTGGCCACGCTGGCCGTCTTTGCCCGATGTAACCCATTCGCTTTCGTCGAATCCAAAATCTGCCTCGTTCATAGCCTGTAGGCGTTGCTGTTGGATCTTTTTGGCTTCAGCTTCCTCTTCGAATGCATCTGCCTCTGTTTCGATAACGTCTGCATCGTAATAGTCCTTCCTTGACGAACCCCATCCTTTCATGCCCTCATCCTCTTCCTCCCCCCTTCCCTCTCCCTCCTCATCATCACCCATCGGACTGGTAGCATTGCGGAGACGTAGCGTCGGTTTCTTGAGTGTGGATTGCCGGGCATCCTCCTCCTCCTCATCATAATCAACGTCATCGTCAAAATCTTCGCCGTTTATAGATTCAGATAGATACCCAAGTACTTCTTCGTCGGAGGGTTGGAAAATCTCCTCTATAGTCACGGTGTTAATAACTAGAATTGAATCAGGAGTGAAAAGAAGGATTAAAATATAAATATTTACCTTGCTCTGCTAATTTACGCCTCCGTTTCGCCTCGGGGGCTTCTTCTAAGAGAATGCGATCCCGACCCTGTTCAAACTCATCCTCCGAGTCGGTGAACGTAGCATCCGCTGCAAACCTGGAGGTTTGGTCTGGTGGAGCACTCTGCTTTGCGGACGAGAGCTTGCTGGCTTTTCTTTTCTTACCCATTGTCACGATAGATAGCCTGGAAAACGACTAGTAGATATGTGTTTGAAATGAACTGCTAAAGCAAGCGGCTGCTGGAGTTGTCCGCCTTTCTGCAGATTTTCCTCTTCCGCTCTAAGAAAAAAAAGTTCCTCGGAATGTCTTGGCGTGATCGATGACCAACGCCTAGGCTCTATTGGGACAGGTACCCGCGCGTCTGGGCAGTTCCACTCTATTGGTCTTGTGAGGTCACGTCTCGTCTCTGGTGCGGATATTGTTCCAAAAAGTTTCCTTCAGGGCTGACAGCGGTAAGAGGAAAGCCCTCTCTATGCCAATTGCGTTACGCTATTATTTAAATGCTTGAATTGTTCTCCTAAGAGAAAAGAACATAACTGGGGGGAAAAGTGCTGAGCTACGAGGGCACACACAACACACTCTACACATGGTCTAGAGTTATCCAATGAATGAATGATAGGTGTGTATTACCTATGATATATATATACAATATTTTGCTCGGTATATAGTTAGTTGACAGCTCCTGCTTTGCTATTGCAGGGGAAAATAGGCAAACACCTACACATTTAACGTGGAAAGAACCACCGCAGCCTAGACACCCATTGCTCCTCCGCCATGCAGGATTTCCGCGCCACGTTAACATCCTTTCTCAGAGGGGACTCTGACTTGTCGTTGTCAACTCCCCAGCTAGTCGCTGCAGTCACTCTTTTGATATCATCCCTATACTTAGCCGTCAGCATGCTAAACTACTTCAAGACCACTAACCAGTTCGTAGTAGCGGGGAGGGTATGTATTGGGGATCCCGTTTAGTTTAAGCCCCTTGTTTTTCATTTGTTCCGGGTAGCTGATAGCTGATGGCACGTAATAGATGGCCGTTGTCACAGGTGGTTCGGATGGTATGGGCAAAAGTGTCGCTCTGGAATTGGCCAGAAAAGGGGCTAGTGTCACCATCGTCGGCCGCGATGTGGGCAAACTCAACGCCGTCTATGAAGCTATGAAGGTACACTTGCCCCTGCTTGACATTTTGTTTGTATTTACCAATAGAGGGTGTTAGACTTAATACTGACGAAAGAAAAACAATGTTCAGACATGCGCCCCCCATATGTGCGGCCAGAAATTCCATTGGATCAAAGCCGATTTGATCGACCCCAAAGAATCCGAACGTGTCATGGCCGAAGTTACCGAGTTTAACGGCGGAGTGTATCCTGATATTGTCTGGTGTTGCGTTGGGCAGTGCATACCCGGGTTCTTTCTCCATACCTCTCCCGAGACCTTGAAAGCGCAGATGGACACAAATTATTTCACCTCAGCTTTTACCGCACAGGCTATTATGAAGCTATGGCTAGCTCCTGCTGCTTCTGGCCAAGCTCCGGAGAAGACACCCCGTCGCCATCTCATCTTTACCAGTTCCACAGCATGCTTTGTCCCGGTCGCTGGGTATGCGCCATATGCGCCAGCGAAAGCAGCATTACGCGCTCTCGCAGATGCCTTGACCTCTGAGATCGAGGTTTATAACGGCTCCCGGAGGAATCCGTCCCTTAACGCCCCTGCTGCGGACGTGAGAACCCACGTTATTTTCCCGATGGGAATTTTGACTCCTGGGTTTGCCCAAGAACAGAAACTGAAACCTGCCCTGACGAAACATCTTGAAGAGGCCGACAAGCCACAGACGCCTGACGAAGTTGCTGCAATTGCTATCAGGGGGCTCGAAAGAGGCCAATACATGGTTACGACTATGCTGGTAGGCACGATGATGAAGGCAAGTGCAATGGGGGGTAGTTATAGAAACAGCATTGTTCGTGACACTCTTACCAGTTGGATGAGCTCTCTTGTCTTCCTTCAGGTTATCCCAGACTTGAAAGCCAGGGCTCATCGGTGGGGGCGAGTCAACGGCATTCCCAAGGAAGGGGAAGATAACACTGTGGCACCCCAACCGGTGACGGACGACTGCATGGGGGAAGAATAATGGTGATATCTCTCGATGTGCTTTCCCTATTAATAACCTCCTCGTTCCCTATATTAGATACACCATTTCCTAGGCGTCAATAAACAACCCTATGTTTCTCTATTAACTTCTTCCATAACGTTCTCCGTGAAATGGGATTCTGGAATATAGAATAGATCATATCTATTCCACTTGATATTTTTTCTCATATTTGGATGCCAAGCCATTTTCCATAATTCGAGTTTAATACCTGTTAAATATCCGTGTATTTCAACCACATGGATGAGGTTCACGTGTTCTTGGTTGCCAAAAAGGGGTGTGATATGGATGAGGCTCAAAGGGGAAAGAAAGAAGAGCATTCACGCCCATCGTCGTCATCTCCTCTCCCGACATCATTCCCACCTTGCAAGCCAGCCTACTTCAACTTCATCCTCATCTCTTGCGCTGGACGGATTTCGAAAATCCTATTAAGCACAAACATTGACTTCCAAATTACGTATACTGCACCTTGCTCCCATTAACTACCTACGTGCCGCCACAAGAAAATGAAGCCACTCGTTATCCTGCACTTCCTCGCCCTTACCGCCTGGGCCTTGAAGCCCCTCGCCCCTAGGGACCATGGGGACCAAACAGTCATCGTAGTTAACAAGTTAGCCCCAGACACCCACAGCTACGGCTACAGCGGCACTAACCCTGTCGATGGATGCTGGGAGAGCCTCGACTGCTCCCTGACCCAAATCGAAGCAATGTCCATGGCGAGCCGACTCGAGTTCATCAAGTATCTGAGCACCTGGCGCCTGGACGCGTTGCACTCCATGGACCAATTCCGCGCGTTTGAAGGGGTCATTGCCTTCTTCATGAGGAAGGATATCGGTGGCACGGGCACGTGGTTGTCGCTTGTACATGCTGCGTGCATCGAGGCGTTGCAGAGGGGTGCGGCTATCTCGCTGGGCTTGTCGAGTAATACCGGTGGGAATCCGGCAAGTGAGAAGTGGGCGGATTATTTTTATCAGAGGAGGACGGGGAGGCTTACGGATAGAGGTGTATGATTGTTCCCCCCCCTTTATTTCCCCCCTCTTCCCATGCTTTATATTTGGACAACTCCGTTTTCGTGTGGTTTTGATATATCGATCGAAAGAAAGTTGAAATAAAGATGGCTGACGATGGTCTCTCCCCCCCCGGGGAGTTGTGAGCAGGCCCACGATTTATCCTGGGCTGTGGCAGAACAAGCTGCCGTTGACTACGGCATGCGCCGCGCAGACTCATCGCTGCAGATCGAAAAGCCCTCCGGCCGCGTGCTACGCTGGATGCAGTTCACGCGCGTATACAGAACAGCCATGCAGTATCGCCGTACGATCTTGTGGCTTATGAGGATGTATGTTCCCTTGCTTACCGTATTTGGCAGCTTAAATTATTTCTCTTCCCTTCCCGTACCCCTTTTTCCTTTCCACTCGCGCTCTCCCCTTAAATCGAACAAGGGACAGAGAATCAAGGAACTCGTCATCAGAAAGGTAAAAGACACAAGTTACTAACTGGTCTACCACCATCCTCTCAAACATTGTATACAGGGGATTCACATGGTCTAGCCCCTCCATACCCATGGCCGTGGAAGCTTTCATAGATTGGGTCACGGACGTGACAGACGCAACCTCTACTGGCTTCCTAGCCGATGTGGCTTGGACCCTTTCTGCGCTGGGGCTATCCCAGCACGGAGAAGACCCCGCCGCTGACAGTGAAGTGATGTTGAAGATTGTCACAGAGTTTTGGGAGGTTTTCCAATTGAGGAATACCGGTGGTGGTAATGGGGAGCAGGGAGGCATTTCACAGCGAAGATAGATCAAGTATCTCCTTATACGGGGGCTCTGTGTGAGGATGGAGCTAAGCGTGGGGTTGTGTGCATTGATGCGGTGTCATTGGTGAAATGGTTGGAAGTGGAAACATCGTGTCCTGTTTACATGTTTACAGAATATAGTTTAGTATATCGGTGAGTGATATTCGGTGGATGATGCAGCATGAAGATGTTGCAAATCAAGAGATTTTTATTTTTCTTATCAGTGAGCTCGGAATCGTTTTTCGAAACAGGTCTCTAATTTGTAAATCTCATTCTTCAGCGGGCAGGTGGATTCAAATTCAGGGGCAGTTTGGGCGGCGGATATGATATTAAGCTTTGCCGCTAAGACGCTAACTAGTTTACGAATCCATATATATGTATTGTGTAACTCACTCTCCAGAAAAGGGTGTTGCACACAAAACACCAATAATAATAGCTAGTTATCTTATCAGTACGTTAATACCTCCATACCCCGCAATGAATCATTGACGGCCTAGCAAAATCGAGCGCATGATAAATTTGGCCATATAAACATAGCACTTGTTACATGCATACTTGAGAAGAAGAGCAGGAAATATTACTAGTACAGAGATCACTGAATTGCCCCCAACTGGACTGCCTTACCTTAAAAGGAGGGGGGTGATTTTCTCGGCAAAATAAATTCGATATGATATGATACAAGCATACGTGTATAAACACTTCAGCTCTGAGGAAACATTATTATACACTGATAATTTACTCAGCATATCAAAAGCTCAGGCAAGGTAGAGAGAGAACCGATCCACCTTCAGTGAGTCTTCTCCAAGGCTTATCAGCGCTACTCTGTGGTTGCAGGTAAAAAGAGGGAGATGAGCTCTTGGACAAAGCAAGTAATTCGTTGAATATCAGCTTTTTACAAAAGCTTCACTCTTGCCTTTTTCCCCTGGAAAATAGATAGGTAGGTATTCAAAGCTGCACTGTTTGGAGTAAACACTGTGTGAGGGCTGTTTGTGGGTTTGTAATTCATACTGAATTACTTTTTTTCTTGTTTTTGGAGTGTGTCTTAATACACATAGTTATACAATATAAAATGAGATAAAAAAAAATGGCATGTCCTACTCCAGCCCTAGCCCAGCCCGACCTACAGAGACATATGTATTAGGCTACTTTTAGAGCTGGTGTATTCACGCACAACAGGCACTAACCCCCTTAAAACTCTGATTAAGAGAGGAAATGAAAATACTTTATGCTGGGAACAGAGTTACAACTTAAATTCTTAGTGATAGGATCCTCTGTATATATTGCTAAATTCAGAAATCAGCACAGCTTCATTCAACAGAGCAGACAGAATAATAAATCATTATCAAAGTATATCAGATTTGTATCATTGTTTTGAACTGCCAAGACTGACAGACAACGTTGATCCTCCTAGTTACACTAGTAACTAAGCCAAGCACTTGAAATAAATAAGCAGGAATGACATCGAGGCCAAAATAAATAATCTTGGAATCCACCAGCCACATTCACAAAACATACGCGCGACAATTAAAAAAAGCCAGAAATCTTCCTCCAATTGCCTTTAGAATATATTATATAATTTGAAAAATATGCATAGTTATGTGTAAAATTTTATCATTATATTCGTTTTGTACCTTAAAAAACTCCGAAAATGTTGGACCTCCTCCTCTCCATCCCGGTGCTCTCCTACCTCCTCATCCCCGCCATGTCCTCCTACAACACAAGCCTCAACATCATCTTCTTCTACATCACATGGATCACGCTGGTCCTGTCAAGCCCCCCGTTAAAGGTTGAAATTGTAGGAACGTGTGCTGTCCGCCTATTACTATATCTAGTTCCGTCCGCGCTATTTTTCCTCTTCAATTTGCTATTTCCGTCTGCTGCGGGAGTGATAAAGGCGCAAGGTATCCAGGACCTCCCGGCGGCAAAGAAGGGGAAGAGGTGCTGGAAACGAGCGCTGAAGGTTGCGGGTTGGGCGGTGTTTAATCTGTTAATGAGCATTTTTCTGCAGGGGCTTGTGGAGGCGGTACTAACGAAAGTGCTCCGAGTGAAGAGCGCGATAAGGGTGGCGGCGAGGCTGCCTTTGCCGTGGGATGTTCTGAAGGACTTGGCGTTGGGGCTTGTAGGGAGAGAGGTACGGAGTATATATGAGACTAAATACCTAATTCCCCTTATTACAGATAATCAGGCCCAAGAGTCAAGTACTTGGGGGAAACCAAGACCAAAGGAAACATGGAACTAATCGCTTGAAATGGTGCTAATAACAAATAGGTCCTCCAATACGTCATACACCGATACATCCTCCACTCTCCATCAGCCTACGTCGCAAAGTGCCATGACGAATGGTACCACTCGCTCCGTAGCCCTGACCCACTAACAGCGCATTACGACCATCCCCTCGCCTACCTCCTCTACCGCTTCATACCCGCATTCCTCCCCGCCGCCACCCTCCGCTTCCACCTGCTCACCTACCTCATCTTCCTCGCTTTCATTTCCCTCGAAGAAACCTTCTCTCACTCCGGCTACAGCATCATGCCCACCAGTTTCTTCATTGGCGGCGTCGCTCGCAGGGCCGATCTCCACCTCCTGAGCAAAGGCCGTGGCAACTACGGGTCGTGGGGGGCCGTGGACTGGATATGCGGGACTACGGTGGGCCACACTGGGTCTCAGGGTGAGGGAGACGACGAAGAGCATGAAGTCGATATCGAGGACGTTCTTGATGTGGCGCTTGAGGAGCCGAAGCGGAAGGTTAGGGGGCTACGAAATCGGGGCCGAGGCCCGGTGGATTCGTAATTGAGGTATTTTCTTTTCTTTTTGTCTTTTTGCCTTTTCCTGTGCATGCGAGGGTGGGAAGATGTACTATCAGGGATGTTTAAACGTCATTGCGTTCGAGATATTTTGTTTTCCGGTGAGAAGTTCAGGGAGTACATTTATTCTATGTGAATTTTGGCCGCGGACGCAAAATATCAGGAGTGTTGATTCCGGGGGCTGGGCTTTGTCGATGTCGATGTGTACGTATATACCTCTCCGGTTTTTGGATATGGGAACGGAGGTAATCTGGGAAATGCGAGAACCTGCGAATATGATAGTTAATGAGATAACATGCTAAACTAAACAAGCAAAAGGGAATCAGTCCTCCCAGTAGCAAAAAAATCACGGAGCTTCGAGGGAAAAGGTATTGTATTGCAAGCGGCGGGTACTAAAGAATGCCTTTGCAGAATTAAAAGGAGGGGCTCATCAAAACGGAATAAAGGGATTTTTCGATGAAAAACCACTAAATTAATAGTGGGAAAGAATCGCCATGGCCATGGTGATTGTACATTATCTCATTGAAAAGAAGAACCTTCGTGGAAAGTTTTGGTGTATATTTTCATATTTTTTTCCCTTCTTTTGTTTCTCCGAAAGAGCAAAATGATTTTTCCCCCAATGTTTAAAAAAAAAAGCCCGCGCAAGACAAGACGTAAATGGATTAGAAAAAGAAAAAAAAAACCCGCTCCCGATTTCTTTCTATTTCAATTTTCCCCCATTCGACAACCAGCCAGTTTACCACTTCATTTCGTGCGGCTTGTCACCGTTCCGCAGACTGAAACTGGAGGAGAGGTAGCTGGCAAGGAACTGCTCCTTTTTGATGGTGGCCAAAAGGGGTTGGTCTACGGCTTTTTGGTCGTTGGCACGGGCGGAAACAACCTTCTTCTTCTGTTTCAATCGTGAAATATATTAGCAACCAATACATCCGCGCATACCCGCACAATAACATGCCGAAGAGGAGAAAAAAAAATTTGGCCATGGCGAAAAAGGGGTAGATCCCAACACAGACACGTACCTCGGGCTTCTCTCCCTGCTTGAAGAAAGCTTCCTCTCCCTTCTTCTCCGCCTTCTTCTCCCGGGTGAAGTAGTCGGATTCGGAGGCCTTTTCCAAAACCTTGTCGTCAATGCCCTTGAGATCGACCTTTGCGCTTGTGGCAATGACGTATCTGGCGTTTACTCTCCGGAGAGGAACGCCATTTAGTTTGAAGGGACCGGTAACGAGGAGGACACCCTGGGGGAGGTGCTTGAGGAGGACGACACGCTTGCCGCGGAAACGACCAGCGAGGAGGATGAGGATGGTGCCGGGTTGAAGACTGGGCCGCGGCTTAGCGGGGTGGATTGTCTTGCGGACCTGTTTTTGATATCCATTTTGTCAGTTTTGTCCGAACTGTGAAAAGGCTTTGAGATTGAAATTTTTGATGTGCGCGAGATCGCGAAATTGTGCGTGTGTGTATCGATCAAAAGGCCTATCAAATCCCTTCATACACAATCTGCGGATATTGAAGCAATGCTTCCCAACAACCCCACTAATTTCCCGGGCAGATGAATATTCTGGTAGCAGTAGTAAAGGCGATAAAAGGGATACTGACTTTCTTCGGCTGGCATTCATCCTCAGTGGGATACCACTTCTGTGCCTTTTGGGCGGGGATGGTCCTCTCGCCCTTTCCAAACTTCTTCGTCTGGCCAACAGACTTTGAGTCCAAAGTCGCCGACATATTGGCTATTGTGACGAAGATGTGGGAAAGAAGAAAATTGGAGGTCGGAGGAGGTCCAAGTTGTCGACGGTCGGTGGGTGTTGTCAGGGTCGTTCGTCGTCTGGCTTACGGGTGGCCGTGGTGTATGTATAGACGTGGTGTTTTTGTGGGATCCCTTGCCCTACCGATTAGCCGAATGCGCTAGTGCCAATCCGGAGCTGGAGTGTCTGGGCCAAACCACCTGACTCGGAACCTTTTCCAGGTCACTTATCAAGCATCATCAACACAACATCAAAAACCGACGTCAGTAGCATCGCCCTCGCAGGTAGCTGCTCCGTCTCAACCCTGCAACCGTCTCTGCATACACAGTAGTAGTATCTTTGATTCCTGGTTTCCCACGAAAACACATCTAGTAGCCATGTCGATAGCACCTATCATCACATTCAAAGCAGGCCTCTGCGAGCTTGATGTAAGTCGCTTCATCGTCTGTCTAGCTTATTCAAACTTCTCTTCAATAGCCCTTCGACTTTAAGGCCTTAACCATGATGTACATCGCCTGAGGTATAAATATCTGACAGCCTACTACCCAATATAGGCCTCCGTTTCTCCCCCTAGAGTAAAACCACAGCCAGCTCCAGGGTACATTTACCTGTACTCAGAAGATGACCTGGTACATTTTTGTTGGCGTCGACGCTCTGCTTCGCTCGATGAACCCGAGTTAGATCTTGTCATGGTCCCATCCGATGGCACTTTCACCCCCTACAAACTCACCAGCGCGGAAAACCCCTCCAACACCGACAGACCTACCAATGGAAGAGTATATGCTTTGAAATTCTCTTCCAGCTCGCAAAGACACCTGTTCTGGCTACAATCAAAAAGCCAACATTCAAACGGCAACCCGGCTTGGTTTAGCGCAAGGGATCTAGAACTAGGACGGATCGTGAACGCTTTGCTGCAAGGCGAGGACATCGATGTTCGTCATGCCATTGCTAACATTCCCGGGGATAATGATGGTGGCAACGGGGGTGACGATGATGAAACCATGGAGGATGTTGAAGGCGCAGACCACAACCCAATCCATCGAGCAGGTGGCAGCGGCGGCGCGGGACCGGGAGCTACTGGAGGAGATATACGTGAAGAAGGCCAAGAGTCGAGGGAGGGCGGAGCGGACGGTGGAAGAGCGTAGGTACAACTTTCCGCAATTATGATCGGACATGTTTACAAAACACAAGAAACAAAACGGACAAGCAAAAAACAAATGGAGTGGTTCATGCTGTGCACAATGCGATCCATACCATTATGTAATTACGCAGATGTCATTTTCATGGCTAAAGCAGCAAAATTTAAACATTATATCTCGATCTCTTTACCTTCCTGCAACTTCGCTGTTGTGGTATATATGTTTGTTCGGGCGCTAACTACCATGAAAAGCGCTACTGCGTCGTCAGATCCATCCTCGGTTATCCAAAACCTCCTCAGGTCCCTCCAGCAGCAAGGAAACCAACAGTCAGGGTCAGAAGCAGCCGAAGACCCATTCACAACACTCTCAGAGCTACTTCCCCCATCTTCAACGCTTCCGTTCATTGAATCAGCGGACTCCGAAACGGTCGACCATCTCCTTAGCTTTCTTCCTACGTCCCTCTTACTTCTTGCGCAATCGAACCTTGAAATACCCAGTAATATGGATCCGGACTCTGGACCTGTAAAAGACGCATTGCAGGCTTTGACTCTCGAACAAAAACGAGATATACTTAAGAGGGTTCTACGATCGCCGCAATTTACACAGAGCCTTGGTAGCCTTACTGTGGCATTGCGCGATGGTGGGCTACCCAGTATCAGTGATGCGCTGAAGATCCCAGTGGAAAACGACGGTTTTATGCGTCGTGGTGGGGTCCCGCTTGGAGGAGGAGATGCTGTTCGCGCATTTCTGGAAGGCGTCAAGAGATATGTTGAAGAGAAGGAGCAGGATTGCCAAGACAAGATGGAGACAGATTAGGGATCTATGAAGCTAGCGATATCTTAGGAATTTTTAATACATCTAAATGATACAGCACGCTACTTCTCACCTCCTCATACAGATCTTGTCTCACAAAAAGGAGAGAAACGATTGCGATCCTAATGTTGCCTGCTACCGAAATTTCCCGGGAACCACGTTTCAGGAATCGTCAGGGCTACTGGCTTGTGGAGGCACTCTGCACAAGACTGATTAATGTAATCCACAAGTGAGCAAGTCACACAAGCAAGTGAGCCACTTCATCATCTTATATCTTTACATTCAATTATTATTACAGCTATAGAAAATGAGTATAATCACATTATGAATTATTTTCTCTATATCGTGAGCATGTATGAGCAGTATATTTTAATAGTATCATATATACGGAGTACTATATCAAAAAATCGTTCTTAAAATATATCTTTCTACACTATAACACTGCTAATGAGAACCATGGATAAACTACCAACAAATGGGAATTATTGGATTCCGTAAAAATCCAACAATCCAAGAATATTATTACGTGGATCCCCGTTTCCCGCTAGACGGCCCGTCAGCGCCGCTACGGAGTACAGCCTCCAGGAGTTGTGTAAAGCCACAGTCAGATCTGCCATGTCTGTCTAGCCCGAGAAACTGCGAATATTTGCACTACTGCGTATGCCAGCCCAACAGTTGAACCACACCAGTTAACCTTGGCGCTGCAGAGTCCAGCAAGAAGCTTGTGACGCCGTATTCGAGACACATTATTGTTGTTACCCCTGGCTTGCGCTTGACACTTATATTACTGTGGATACGCTGTAATGCGGTCTCGGAGCTCCGCGCCAACTTGTTCGTTCAGCTGTGTATGAATTATTACAGAGGTACCGTATTATTGCATGGACCTTGGACCTGAACCCTCATAAACTCGCCGGCCCCATTCTCACGGAGCTGCCAACAGACGACAATCCAGGAGAATATCATGAGGCAAGACTAAACGAATAATACGTCAATGAGAATTCTATCGTGCCGTTAATTAGGAACAAGAGTACCGCTCCTCCTCCTCCTCCTCGCCGCAAGATACAAGCCGCCGATAGACACGCCCACTAATAGATACCACGTTGGTTGATATCGTCCCTCCCCCACATAACTGTGCTCGAGCGTTGCTTTTCGTGAACGGAACAACTTGCGTTTCTGCTCATTTTGCGCGCAGAGGCAGTGGCGGCACACTGCGACAGTATATATATCCAGATTGAGCTGTTTATTGGGGTCTTCTATGTTGTTGCGTCGTTTGCATTTTGAGATGTCCGCCTTCCGATAGCCAACGCCAATCAGCATGGCGTCGCCGAACAACAACAACAACAAGGACAACAATAACAACGACAACGGCTACGACCCGCGGAATTATGGACCCGGGCCTTCTCCCGTTGACCAGTCGATCCCCTTGCAAGACCTCTCAAGACCTCCGGATATTGCGACAGCAGGTGTACCAGACCGGCGACGCAGAAGAACTAGCAGCAGCAGCAGCACTGCAGGTCGCGAGGGATTTCCTGTCCGGAGAACGTCGATAATAGGGCGCAGGGGTATTGGGAGGAGATATGAACGGATAGCGGAGGATTCCCCAAGTCCGCGCGAGCGGAGTGGGATGGATACTTTTCATACGGTCAATTTGTCCAGCGATCATCTGCACCATAATTCCCCCATATCCCTTGCCGATGGAGGCCAAGAGTTCTCTGCTGGCGCCCATCACAGTTTTCAGGAAGCTATAGGCTCTGTTGGATTGAGCTTTGATGGACCAGCAACGATACATTTCTCGGGTCGGGATTCAGGTCCACAGCGCTCTTACCAAGCACATGTGAGGCACTCCGATGACTCGACTCCGTTCCCCTATATGGGCAGCCAGACCCCCATTGACGAGGAAAATTACATGTCGCCTATTGATACGAACGAAAATGACACAACGCCTCTTACGGACCGGAGGTATCAACAACCCATTGATGGTGCCTCCATTTCACATGGCCAGCGACATGACAGGCCGAGCGTGCATTTCGCAAGCGAGCGGACGGCCGTTGGGCCGCATCTAGTCGATGACCTACCACACTCGGAAGAAGGGAATAGTAGGATGCGGAGTGGCTCCGGCGGTCGGAATCGACCAGGTCGCCGGTCGCGGCAGCTTGCGCCAGCTCCCAATTCTGCGTTGTCAAGAGCTGGCTCGATGATGAGAATGATGTCGCAGCGTGTGGTTAATATCAGTAATGAACCGGAGATTGTGGACCAGACGCTTCGGCACAAATCGTCGCTTAAGCAGGCTCGCCTTGAAGCTCCACCGTCACTACCCGCAATGACAGAGTATGCTCATGACATATCAACGCCGGGTTTAGACGATGGTTACCCACCAGAAAAGCGCCCGTCGCTTTTCTCTAAACTGCGAGACCCAGATGCCTACCAAACGGAGGAAAACCCGCTCAAGGGCAATTCGTTGGGTATCTTTTCTCCGAACAGTAAACTGCGGAGAGGGTTGCTGGAAATCCTCATCCACCCTGCGGTAGAACCGATAATTCTCATCCTCATTATCATCCAGACCATACTTCTAGCTATTGAATCTTCGGTATACAAAGGCGAACGGGGGAGTCGTTGGGGCACTCCTGCTTTCGACTACGCGTTCCTCGTTCTTTTTCTCATATATACACTCGAGATCAGCGCGAGGATCATTGTATCTGGACTTATGTTCAACGCCGATGAATATAGTACTTTGGATCGATCGTTGGGTTTAAGAAAAGCTTTGGTCGCAAAAGGGAAGGATCTCTTGATGCCACAGCGAGGGTTATCCACAAGGAAATCCGGCAACCCGACCGAACCTCAAATATCCGTACTAAGGTCGTTCACGGGTGCTCAAAATACCGCAGACCGATCCGGGCATTCTAGTTCCCTGCAGCGATATCGTCTTGCGCGGCGTGCGTTTTTCCGTCATTCCTTCACCAGGATAGATTTCCTTGCTGTTGTATCATATTGGATATCGTTTGTGTTATCAAACCTATCTCTCGAGTCGCAACACCATCTTTACGTATTTCGAATGCTGAGCTGCCTTCGCATTTTGAGGCTTTTGGGTCTCACCAGTGGTACTTCCGTAGGTTTTACATCTTTCAAATGTGTTTTATTATATATACAAACTACGGCCTCAGCTCATGTTCTATTTAAAAATTTCTAGGTCATCTTCCGAAGTTTGAAAAAAGCCGCCCCTCTACTCGTCCATGTTGCTTTTCTCATTAGCTTTTTCTGGCTCCTGTTTGCCATTGTCGGCGTCCAAAGCTTCAAGTCCAGCATGCGCCGGACTTGCGTCTGGGTTGATCCTGAGAACCAAAGCAACTTCACACTGAATGCTGCGCCCGATAACGTCCAATTCTGTGGAGGGTATCGTGAGCTTGGCACTGGTGCGAGCAAGCCTTGGGTTTTGCCTGATGGGACAGCCGGCGCGGCCGCCCCGAAGGGTTACCTCTGCCCTGAGGGCTCTCTCTGTGTACAAGGCAGCAATCCATATGGTGGAACTATCAGCTTTGACGATGTTGCTCATTCCCTGCAGCTCGTTTTCGTAGTAATGAGCTCGAACACTTTTACCGACATCCTTTACTATATGACCGACACTGACTACCTTGCCGCTGCTTTGTTTTTCGTCTTCGGATTCATAGTCCTGAGTTTGTGGCTTGTCAACTTGTTAGTTGCTGTCATCACCTCGTCATTCCAAGTTATTCGGGAAGAAAGCAAGCGCAGCGCGTTTACCAGCGAGCATATAGACGAGAGAGAGTTCGAGGACGATACTCCTCGCAAACTACGTGGACTGAAACTTTTATACGATCGAACATACTGGCTATGGATTGCTGTGATTACCTTCGGTCTTGTGGTTCAGGGTCTCAGGAGCTCTTCCATGGGGCCTCACCGGCGAAAACTTATCGACAGGACGGAAATACTCGTCACCATTATTCTTGCCGCTGAAATATTCCTACGATTTGCGTCAGACTGGAGGAACTTCTTTAAAGGTGCCCGTAACTGGGTCGATTTGGCGCTCGCGATAATTACCTGCATCATTATAATACCGCCAATACGCTATTCCGGCCGCACGTATGCTGCGCTATCAATATTCCAGGTATTGCGTATATATCGCATCGTTCTTGCATTTTCCGTGATGAGCGATTTGATCAAGACGGTTTTCAAAAACGTAGTTGGTTTACTCAATCTCATCATATTCGTGTTTCTCATTACCTTTTTGGCGTCAATATTCGCCGTTCAGTTATTTCGGGGCCAGATACCTTCAGAGGATATAGGAGGCAACGAGATTCAAATTACTTTTTTCGACATCTACAACTCGTTTCTAGGAATGTATCAAATACTCTCCAGCGAGAACTGGACGGCTATATTATATTCGGCGGTCGAATCTACCTATCCGTGGAATACAGCTTGGATCTCGGCAATATTCGTCATCATGTGGTTCATTCTGGCTAACTTTGTGGTCTTAAACATGTTCATTGCTGTCATCCAGGAGAGTTTCGATGTGTCTGAGGATGAGAAGCGAATTCAGCAGGTGAAGGCGTTTCTACAGCAGAAGCAGCTTAGTGGGTCTTCTCAGGGCAATCTTTCGCTGTCAACTATATTCAGACTTGGTCGCAATTCTCGATTCCGAGACCCGCTCGATCATGGGCCTGCGGCGCTTGAAATGTTACTGAAGGATGCTGTCGTAAACGAGTTTCTCGATGAGCAACCACGATCACCACCTGCAGACATCCAACCAACGGAAATTCAACCCGGTCATCCTGAACATAAAAACGGCGTTACGAACTTTTTCAGCTCATTTAAAAACCGAATTATGAACCGAGAGCCTAATCCCTTTTATTCAAAACTGAAGTTTTCCAAAGTTTATGACGATTCGGATCCAACTGCGATGGCTAAGGAAGTTCTTTCTGCGTCCGAACAGCGGAAGCGAGCTCAACGCCAATATCTCCAAAAATATCCTAATTATAATGTATCATTGTATATCTTCAAGCCCACGAATCCACTACGACGATTCTGCCAGCGCATCGTTGGACCGGGTCGAGGGAGCAGTCGTATCGAAGGAATAGATCCATACAAGCCAGTATGGTATACATTTTCAGCGTTCATTTATGCCGCGATTGTCGCTATGGTCTTGCTTGCTTGCATTGCCACGCCCCTTTATCAGCGCAATTACCTCCAAACCCATAAACCTGGTCTCAGTAACTGGTTCGTTTGGACGGATCTGGCTTTTGCAATTATTTTCACGATCGAGGCAGTGATCAAAGTTATTGCAGATGGCTTCTTTTGGACGCCAAATGCTTACTTTCGAGGCTCTTGGGGCTTCATTGATGGAATCGTGCTGATTACGCTTTGGATTAATGTCGTATCGGCAATATTTAACGCTACTGCTACATCGCGTGTTGTGGGTGCGTTCAAAGCTCTGCGAGCTTTGAGGTTGCTAAATGTCAGTGACAGCGCGAGAGAAACGTTCCATGCTGTGATTATATTGGGTGGGTGGAAGGTTATTTCTGTAAGTTACACATTTTCCACTCCTACGTTTTCTTTCTTATTTGGTTCGATGCTTATAGAAGGGTTTGTAGGCGGCATTCGTCTCAATGAGTTTCCTCGTCCCATTCGCCATCTACGGCTTGAATCTTTTTAACGGACAGTTCAAATCATGTAACGATGATGACTTTGGGTACAGCTCACTAGACCACTGTGTTGGTGAATATATGAGCTCCCCATATGCATGGGATGTTCTTGCACCACGGGTAGTTTCGAATCCGTATTTCAGCTTCGACAACTTCGGCGAATCGCTCTTCATTCTTTTCCAAATTGTGTCCCAGGAAGGCTGGACGGGTGTCCTATGGGAGGCGATGGCAATAACTGGAGTAAATCAACAACCTGTGCCCCTCGCATCTCAAGAAAATGGACTCTTCTTTGTCGTGTTCAACTTGCTCGGCGCCGTCTTCGTGCTGACACTGTTTGTTTCAGTCTTTATGCGAAACTACACTGAACAGACAGGGGTGGCATTTTTGACCGCAGAGCAACGGTCTTGGCTCGAACTACGCAAACATCTACGACAAATATCCCCCTCCAAGCGATCCATTGACAAGGATAGCAGTAAAATCAAATCGTGGTGTTACAAAATTGCGGTCAAAAAGCATGGACGCTGGTCAAGGTTTATTACTGGACTTCTGTTATGCCATCTACTTCTCCTGGTTCTTGAGTTCTATCCTGAATCTGTCTGGTGGGACAGAACTCGAGGTAAGGCTTCCCTTCCTTTCCGCAGTATCACTCAGGAGCCGCCCGCTCATATATGTTACAGATATTCTATTCTTGATTTTCACAATGTTCTATATCGCCAACATTTTCATTCGTGTTGTCGGCTTAACCTGGCAGCGATTCAGCAGAAGTTCTTGGGATCTATACTCGATCATCTCGGTATCTGGTACTTTCGTCACGACAATGCTCTCGGTGGTCCGATACGAGAATATCGTCTTCACACGGCTCCATAAACTATTTCTTGTCTCTATAGCTTTGCTGATGATACCTCGGAACAACCAGCTCGATCAGTTATTCAAAACTGCTGCTGCTAGTCTGACGGCTATTGGCAACCTTCTGGCGACTTGGTTCGTTCTTTTCCTGGTCTACGCAATTGCCCTCACCCAGATATTTGGCCTTACAAAGTTTGGAGAAGGGGAAACTGGCAGTATCAATTTCCGAGACGTACCGAGGGCCCTTATTCTTCTTTTCCGCACAAGTGTTGGAGAGGGTTGGAACGAAGTAATGGAAGACTTTGCCACGATGGTACCACCTTACTGCACAGCTGATGGTCAATTCTTCGAGAGCGACTGCGGCAGTGCTGGTTGGGCTCGTACCCTGTTTATCTCCTGGAATATCGTTAGCATGTACATTTTTGTATCTCTCTTCGTGTCGCTCATTTTCGAGAGTTTTTCCTATGTCTATCAACGAAGCAGCGGGCTGTATGCGATCAGCAGAGAGGAGATCAGGCGCTTTAAACAGGCCTGGGCTACCTACGATCCTGATGGAACTGGATATATCTCCAAGGAAGCATTTCCAAGGCTATTAGGGGTAAGTCAAGCCAGGTACACATTACTTACCCGCCCCTGTTCTAACAAAATTGTAGGAACTGTCCGGCATATTTGAAATGCGCATCTATGACGGTGACTTTACAGTTGGCCGCATTGTGGAAGACTGCAAAGTCCATCGCAGGGAATCGAATCAAGCGCCATATGTTCGAGCTGTCGATGGAATCGACTTGGACAAGTTGAGACGAAGGATTGATCGCATCCCCGTCCAGCAAATCCGCAGAAAACGCGCTCGAATGAATGCCTTCTATGAAGAAGTTCTCGTCTCGGCAGACCCTGAAAAAGGCATTTCCTTTACTTCTTGCCTCATGATTCTTGCTCACTACAACGTGATCACTGATAGTAAGAGTTTGAGGTAAGTCACCTTCCCTGATCTATGAGTCTTAAATATAGTACTTTCTAACATATATCTCTTTCCCTTTATAGACTCGAAGAATTCCTCCGTCGTCGAGCTCGTCTGCAGCGCGTGGAGGAAGCCGTTAGACGAAGTGTAGTAATTGGGTTTTTCGACACATTGTACTGGTCCCGAAAATTCCGCCGCCGCTTCGAACCCCATCATGACTCTCGCCTAGTCTCCGTACCACAATTCGCCGTTCCAGAAATCTTCGTCGAAGATGGCGAGCACGAGGAGCAACTGCAGCAACAACAGCAAGAACAACAGCAAGAACAACAGCAACAACGCCAACGCAGCCACTCGCAGCTTTCAGATCCAACCTTCCCTTCTCCCATGCTCTCGCCAGACGCACGAAGTCGCTCCTCCGGCGGTTCGGATGGTCGCGGACACATGCGCAGTCCACCTTCTATCGACACAAATGTCTCGCCAATGTTAAGAGGCACAGGCTCTCCAACACGTGGTAATGAGTGGGTGAGTCGAAGCCCCTCGCTGTCTCCGCGCCAAAGCCGCGCGCTATACGGTTCCACCCCACCTAGTCCGGATGATATTACAAATCATCGACCCGATGATAGCTCCGTCAGCGTGCAAGGGGTGATGGAGTCACTGGACAATTCTGCGTGGGGCGAAAGTATCCGGCGAAGCTTCACGATGCGTCGGCCGCAAGGGCGGGAATAAATCGCCGAAGAAAAAAAGTCCTCCACCATTTTTCTTCATTTCCCCATAATCTACTTGGACCTATTAAGATCCTAGTCATGATCCATCATGCTTTCTGACCTCATTTTTCTTTCCCTTTGCCGTGTCTCATTTCGTTCCCTTCCTTGCACCCACATATATATACACCTTATACACACAATACCATTTCTATGCATTTTCCTTTGTTCGCCCCCCTTTTTTTTTTCCGTCTCCTTTTCCTCTAGAATTTTCTCCAGCAGAGTTTGATAAGACAACAATGCTCCTACAGAGATACCGAGATACCACCATATACATGTATACAAACACGATTTTTTATTAGGGAACACATACAGAATAACGATACACATGACAAGTTGGAGAAAGGGCTGGGCCGGCAGCTGTCGTCGAAACGAATTTTGGATTTTAGATATGGGTGATGTCAGTTGATGTGACCGGGCCTTGCCTTGATTTGCATCCTATTCTCTTTACCCTCTTTTTTTTTGTCTTTGCTATTGGTTCTAGTAACGTTTTCTAGATTTCAAAGGAACGAAAAAGTGGCTTTTGAGAAAGGACGTAATTATGCGCATGCAGCCAAGGAAGGATGCTGGATTTTCATGTTTTGTGTTTTTTTTTTTTTTTTTGATTTTTTGATTTTTTGATTTCGGTGTCTCGGTTGCTTGATAGTTTTGGCCTTCTCATTTTTGTTCTCCTTTTCTTGTTCTTTATTTGTATATTTTTACTTATTTCCTCCCCCTCTTCCCCCCCCCCGCCCCCCCCCCCCTTTTTTTTTTTTTTCTTTTTTTGCTCCGTCTTTCATCTCCTTGTTTATTTATTACTTTAGTACCGCTTCCCCTTTATACTTATTATAGCTTTGCTCATTGCGCTTTCCTTTTGTTTACATCAGGATTTTTGAAAGTCAGAGGGGAAAGGAAGTGATGGCCTTTCTTGGATATGTTCTGCAAGTGGGTTTTGAACTGTCAATATTTAATTTATAATTAATTTGCATTTACATTGCACTTACATCCAGTTACATGCTTGCATGTTTATGGCAGGCGGATGGAAGAATACATTCATCTCGTATAATTTCCCTGTTGTGTCTTTATAGCATAGAGGAATGGCTTTGGTATTTTATTTTAGAAAGTAAAAAGGCAGCATTATGGAGATGTGGTGTATGTGTAGGCACTTCCTGTCTTTATCATGTCTGCATAGTTAGAATTTAGAATGCATGAGTGGTAGTAAATCATGCTTCTAATTCAGAGTTGCATCAAAGAGAAAGATAGCTGCTGGGCAAAATAAATAAGCATGCATACATCCACTCCTGTTGTATTAATATATTCATATTGATAAAAACCACCTCTCTGAGATGTGTATGATCTCCATCTACCCCCTGCCTGAAACAGCCATCTGTAACAGTGTTGAGGAGTTTATTAGTCAAGTCACTCAGTCAGCCATTTCCAGAGTGTGTCTGTATCAAAAATGAGCCAAAGTTCAATTCATTCATATTTTCTTTTGCTGTATATATGCTTGGAAATCATACAAGTATTTCCTTCTTCTGTGCCACATTACATTACAGTAGTCTCATGGAGATCATACATTTCATGTCTGAAAATACTTCTGTTTGAGTAAATGAAATATCTGCCCTTTCAGGGGTGATACTCTTGAAAAAGGGGGAATAAGAGTTTTAAAATACTAAAAAATAATAAATAGCAAAAATATAAAAATATTGATAATCAATCCATCTAACTTTTCGTCCCTGAATTTTTATCTACATGCTGCGGGATTGTATGTATGTATGTAGCTTCTAAGCATGCAGAACTAGCCAGGGGATAAATACCATGCCATGCCCTAATTCTTATATTTTTTTCTTTTTCTTTTTTTCTTTTTAACCATCCACACTCACTCACTCCAACATCGCTCGGATCGCCTTGATGAGACAAGTAGGGAGAGAAGAGGCTGGGGGCCATGCTAGCCCGAAGCTTCCCATCCATCTCAAACAGAGCGCTGTATCAGAACTTCGGAAGCTCCTTAGTGGCGCGCGAGATGAGAAACAGGTTAAGTTAAAAAGCTTTCTACCCCATTTTTTCTTTTTTTCCTTGTTAATTGTGAAGCTGGGTTCCTGCAGATGCCTGATCAGGGCAGGCAATGAATCGAGTGCATAAACTTTTCAATAATTCCAATGCAGACAGCAGCAAGATTATAGGATTTCAGAGCTAGTAACTAGTTAACTACTATAGAAATAAGCATTTGCCTTGGATATTTATAACAGGTCTTGAGTTTGACCAGCAAACGGACACACGTAAGTTAACTTACACTGTAAGTAACTAACTAGGTATTTTGACTTTTGGGTCCTGCCACGCCATCTGTTTCTGTTGTCTCGTATGTGTCAGTTCTATCTACGTTAACTACCCAACTACAACAAACAACACTCTCCCACCTGCTCCGTTTTGCTTTTTTCTCTACTCTCTTTTGTGACTTAAGACAGCCCGTCCCCGGCCTCATCTTTTCGTCTACACTTGTCCTCCTCAGGTATTGTTGTCTTTGGCCTTGCTGCTGTCAGTTGTCGTGCTTCGTGGCTATCAGCACTCCCATTCATTTATCATTTATGTGCCTTCAATCATTCATACTGATTTTTGACTTCTATCACACCAGACAGAGCAAGATGTTCCGCTAGGTGGCTCAAGTATCTCTAAGTATCTCTTGCCGCTCTTTTCTGGGCCAGTCAATTGTTTCTCTGGCCTGTTCGTTCGCTTCTGCTCCCAATTCAGTTGTATTTATACTCAGTTCTATTTCTGTCCTGCCATTCTATCCGGTCGACCTGATAGATTCCGCTCGAGGGTCAAGGAAAAAAAAAGGGGACCCCCGCTACTCTCCGCCCGCCACAGACTTGCAGCCATTTCATTCTCAAATAACATCTTGGAGGCTACGCTCTATTTATTGGTTTACGCCGTCCTAAAGCGGTCGAAAATCCTCTTCGACAACCTGTATAAAGGCTGTGACCATTTTGCAGCAGTCCCGAGCTACAATATTAGCAACAGCATATAGAGAGCTACGACACTCGATATCCGGCACAAAGCAGATTTCATCCGCCTTATATTTCGAAAATGGATGGCATCACCGAGACTAGTGAACTGCTCCCTTCGCCATGGACGAATTATACACAACCACCACCAATACCGCTACGAAACCCGTTCCACTATGCCAGGAGCAGATCGACTACGAGCAGCCCTCTCTCCTCTTCTCCAGACTCTAGTCCCACAAGCAGAAGCCGGCGGCACCATTTCTCAACATCCATGAGCCGTATGTGCAGCCGCAGCCGTAGTGGCAGCCCGCTCACAATGCGCTCTGCAACCTCATCGCTGCGCCTGTCATCTCTACTTCTGCGTCGTCGTTTGTCTGCTGTGGATCTGGCGCTGAGTGAGGAACGTTACCGGTGTTGTGAGGACTCTGTTGAGAAGATTGGGTTGGGGCTTATGGAGCCGCGGCCAGTGGATCCTATCCCGGTGCCATTGGCCGTTGGGGATGTGGATGCCACCATTAATATGAATATGAATATGAATAGTAGCAGTATGGGGCTGCTGTTTGAGTTCGAGCAGGTCGGTGATATACATCATCTCGATTCGTTGCGGATAGGGAGTAAGCCGCGGTTTGTTATGGGTGGGATTTTCGAGGTCATGGAGGGATCAGCTTAGAGAAAGAGAGGGTCGCAGCGGAGCTCCCAGTACGCTCAATCAATCGACCTCGACCCATGAGACAAGACGGCACATGAGTTCTGAAATTTGAGTCCACCATGGGTTTCCCAGAGTACGGACTATTCGTGCGCGATGCCTCCTCTCCCCTCCTCTCCAGAGTCTAACCTCCATCCAGGCTTATATCCAAAGAAGCAGACAAACGACTCCCTTTTCCATCTCCACTGTCATGGCGCCTGCACCTGCCACAAAATTCCAGAAAGAGCCACGTTATGAGCGAACTCACTAGGAAGCGTATTCGTTATTGCTTATATTTTCCATCTTATTGGCCCAATATTCATACCGATTCCCATCATTCTCCCCTGCGTCTGACACAGCCTCTTCCCAACCAAGACGAGACCCCTGTGCAAGAGGTAGCAAGTAAGTTATATGAGAAGCCAGGGAACGAGATTGATGACGCCACGCCGTATACGTATATAACACCAACGGCCTTTTGTTTTCATGTTTTGTCTCTCCGATATAGTTGTTTCTTTTTTTTTTCCCTTTCTATGTTAACAATGTATGAGGTTAACAGGTATGTGTTATCGCAGCTTCTGATTTTACCGTTTATTTATTTATTTATTTTTTGTGTTTCTTTTCTCCCACACTCTATATCCGATAACCTTGTTTTTCTTCGCCTATCTTATGCGAATTATTGAGGTGTGCGTTTTTTTGATTATTGATGGGATGTTTGTGTGGATGGCTGGAAAGTTATTTATTCACTGTGATCGCCTGCATTGAATTCATTTCCAATAGATAGTTTTTGTTATACTTCTGTATTTATACTTATATTTATTTTTAATAGAGTAGATGAGACAAGAAAGTGGATGGTTTTTACTTCTTTTACAAATATGCATGAACGTCATCTGGAATTGCTATGCTATGTTTTATATATGGAATAGTCGTCCAACCCCTAAACTATCAGTAAAGACAGGTGGTGATTGAGCTCTTTTGTCTCAGTGTTCTACAGTCAAGGCTATACAAATTTAAACTGAATTAAGTTCAATTTTTTTTATTTTTTAAAAAAAAAATGTCAAATCTCTCATTGTGTGTAGATATCTGTCAGGGAAAAGAGAAGAACTTGTCTCACAGCAAGCCTCTCTCTCTCTCTCTACTTACGAGATTGAGTTTCTCTTTCACATCATTAAAAAAATCGATCACTCACTTAAGATATAGTGTGAGTCTGAGAGAGGGTGGGGTGTTGATAGATATGAAGCGATTCAGCCTCTTAACTACTATGTTTCTCAGATATTTATTTTACACATTCTATACCGTCTATTCAGTAAACCCTAATGATGCAAAAATAGATGCGTGCAGCAAAGGTGGGAACGAAGGCTGGAACTTCCACATGTGTTCCACTTCATTAATGAAATAGGGCAAAATCTAAATAGCTAGATAGCTAAATGAGCTGGTTCTTCTACTATCTTAAGGACACTAAAGAAGGGGGAAAAACAGAAGGACAACCATCTTCCATATCATATGCAGCATTGTCGGAAAACCAGGCAAAAGGACATCAAAGATTCAGAGAATTGAAGCAGAAGTAGCACCGAAATTCAATGCCGCAGTCGCGTTCGCAGTTTAAAACTTCAATTGATACAAAGTTCCCGCAGAATAGCTAACAAAAGGGGAAGAAAGAAAATCCAGATCGTTCAAGAAATACAGAAAAGCTGCAAGCTGAAAAACTGGGAACTGGGGTATTTGAGACACAGCGGAAAAGAATAGAAAGGTAGAAAGAAACAAAAAACACCAGAAGAATCGACAAAACTAGTCCGAAGCCAGCTGAGCGCCCTTGCCTAAGAAAAGAGTGTATTTTTCAACTGATAGTCAACATAGCATGGTCTAAAGGGAAAAGAGCGCGGGTACCATAGTGCACATAATACAAGCCCGCTCTTTGGGGGGAAAACGCCAGGCACACGAAAAAAT